AAGTAGTAATGTTAAAATTATGAAAATGTTTCTTTCTTTATCAGTTCCTATTAGTGCTTTGCTTTAACTAGTAGAGTTGCCAGTTTAAAAAAAAACTATCAGCAACTAAGGCAGTCTTACGTCAATTTTTAGAAAATTTTATCAATATTTAATACTTTGTGAGTTATTTTAATCTGCACTGCCCGGCCCGAATTTCTTTAAAATATATTAAATATTAATTTACATGGATAATAATGGTAATTTAAAATATATAGTCCGGCCAGTGTATTTAAAAAAAAAAATTTAGGCTAGGCCCGGGTATATTTTAAAAAAATCCGGGCCGGGTTCTGCGCGTTTTTAATTTCCCTGATAAGTGTGATTTTACCAAATCTATTCCAAAGAGAATCTACTCTGAGAATTTCATATGAATTTGCTAAAAAAATTTTGTATTTAACAATTTTTAATGAAAATCCATATATAAAATAATCAAAATTAAGGTAAGGCGAAAGTTTGATAGTATTTTGTTTTATTATTTTTTTGCAATTTAAATAATTATTGCGTTAAATTTTAAATCTGATTTTGTCGGAAATGCATTCCAATATGTGTAGAATACCCACCCTATAAATTTCAGAAGATTTTATATTGAACTTCTTAATATATTTTTAAGGTTTACTCATGTCATAAGATTGCCAGAAATTTATAAGTAGCGTTATTAGCCTAAAAATCGGCTAAACCTAATTAGGCTTAGCCGAAAGATCGCCTAGCACTATTTAGACAAAAAGTAGGTACTGGGAGCTCGGCTAATAGCACGTCAGGGTTATGCAAAAATAAGCCTAGCCTTAATTATTATATATTCATATTTATTAAAATTTATAATTATTTTATATATATTTATTATGTAAAAATATATTAATGAAGGATAATTAGCCGAGCTCCTTAGCAGATGTTTAATTTTCGACTAATTATTTGTCGCCTATTTTTATGCTAAGCCGTTTTTGAATTTTCTAAAATTAACAAATTACTCAAAATTCTAAACTTATTGTGTTTTTCTGGCAAAATCAGATTTTTAAATTTAATACAACTCACTCAATTAATGATTTTAAATTTATATAATAACAAAAAATAAACTTTGGCCTTGTTTTTTTGATTAAGCAATAAGAGAACACTTTATACAAATTTATTATCAAAAAATGCTTATCATAATACTAATCCCTCACTAATTAAAATATAAATGATTTTCGAGGGCTAATTATCTGTTTGGCTCAATGTTTTAAATAAGACTTTTCTTAGCACCTTGCAAATTAAATTATTTCAGCAAAAGCTCCATCAAAAATCTTTATTTATTTTAAATTTTAGGTCTTACTGTCCCAAATTTAATTGAAAAATATAACTAAATGCATATTTAAACAATCAATTAATATAAAAATAATTTCTTTACCCTAATCCTAAAAAATCTATTTATTGCTTAGAATTTTTTTAAATATATTTTGAGTTAAAAAATTTTATATAATTTTATTTATTTATTTTGTTTTTAAGATCTAACATATTTTATTAATTTTTCATCAAAATGGCAGCCTTCGAAGTTGGCAACAAATAATTTGATTACTACCTATCAGCCGGCCATAAAAAACTTTTCTATTTATTTAAAATTTATGTTTATCTATAACTACAATCATTTGTGAAAATTAGTTAAGTAAGAATTTCTTCCATTTTCTCGTTTTCATTTTTAGGCCGTGTCATAATATCTAGCTGTAATTATTAAAAAAAATAATATTAATTAATTCGTAACAAGTATTACCTACCATTACTCTGGTGGGGGAGGGTAATCTTCAATTTTCACCATAATTTATTAATTTTTAAATTGATTAGAAAAAAAACAAATATTATCATTTTGAACTCTCGACTCGTCTAAGAAAAAAAAGTTTCCCTAATAAATGGCAAATGAGAATGACCACCGAGGACGAAAGATAATGCAAATTAATTAGAGACTACTGAAGATGTTTAAATATTTAAAAATAAATATGATTAAAAATTGAACGCCTGCCTCTAAACCCTGATCTTAATAGGTATAAAGCAGGTAACAAAAACCTTTAAATAAGCATTGTTTTCGCCCAAAGCTTTGAGCAAAAAATCTTTGAAGATTAAAATAAATTGAAGATCTTTTCGTAAAAAAAAATATTTATGCTATTTTATTTAAAAAATATCTGGCAAAATTTTTTTTATTCTTTTTTAAAAAAAAAACATCAAAGGGAAAATCAAAGAAGATTTTTTTTATAAAAAACATTTTTTTATTTTGCTCAAAAATCTTCTTTAAGCATGCTCTAAATTTTTTTACAATTCCATTTTTTAATCTACAAAAGAGCAAGAATCTTTAAAGATTTTTGAATTTTGAGCAAATGTTAAACCCTGTTAGGGCGGGTTAAAAAATTTAAACATGGGCGGGCGGGTTAAGAAAGTATCCGTAGTGTTCAAGATTCTTATAAATAATGCTCTAAATAAAATAGGAAAATAAGTCCTTAAAACTTTTTAATAACAAGGATATAATAGACGAACTTTACACATTATTAAATTAATTCCGAGATTCGGTGGAATTTCTTACCTCCCAAAAGGGATCAACAATAAATTTTGGAATATTACTTCGAAGATTGCTCATATATCATTTGCATAAAAAGAAAATATGCAAAAAAGGCTTTGTCATAGGTTTTTAATTACCTAACCTATAGTAATTTATTTTATATTATAATTTTAATAACAAAATTATATTTTAAAAATTAAATATTAGCGACACTAATTGATCTGAGATTTAAAATTGTTTCAAAATATTTAAATTCGAATTCTACAACATGATTGCAATTTTTAATTAGACTTTTAAATATTTAGCATTATAGAAATGTACAGAGTGAGATTCAAGTTGAAGATAATAGGCAAACATCCAGTTCATATATAGCGAAAATAGAACGTTCCCTTCCAAGCAACAATTATCCTAACATTCGCGATCTAGAAAAAGAATGCCATCTTTTGCTCAGCCAACATAGTATACCAGAAGAGAATGCACTAATTCTTTGTAAAAAAATGGACTGGAACTTCCTCTTAATTTAGCTAGAAAGGTTCTTTGAATACCTGCAACCAGTACACCTAAGTTAATAATTTTTTTTATCGTTGGATTAATACTCAATGCAAATTAATACTCAATGCAAAAAGGATCTTTATGTCCCACGAATCTTGATAAAATACTATTTATTCGTGATAATTATAATTTTACTAAATTTGATTTATAATTTATTTAAAAAAAAGGATATCTCGAAATTAACAGTTCTTTGGTTTTCAATGCATTTTTTCAATAATGTTATAAGTTTATTTTTTATAGGTTCGTTCTGTGGAAGTTTTACATGGCTATTGAAGCTTAAATATTGGATATAATGCAGAAAAACATATTGATCTTCATTATGTTCAAATCTTCAAAAAATTAAAATATATGTAATTAATTTGATAGTGATAGGTTTAATAACTTTTATTAATCACATTTAATACTACGTCTATTAATGGTTGACCATATTTTAGGCCACTAATTTTTTTTTAATTTTATATAACTATCGATATTGTTAGGACAAATAGCCCAAATGCATTTTTTCTTCAAATTTAATGATTCTACTTAGTCGTATTATATAAAATAATTAATATTACAATCATATGTCTTTTTAAAATTGTAACTTGAAGATTTTGAAACTGATATAATACTTTTTGGGCACATTTTACATTTGTTAAGTATGAATTAATTCCTTCAATATAATGTTGCATATTTATCATATATGGGCCATGGTAATGTTAATTCATCTGATTTTAAATTTTTAAAATCAGATAATGATGATGAAATAATAATATCCATGCTTATGCTAATCTATTAAATTAAAATATAAACAAAAGTATCAAATTAATAAACTATAATAATGGTGTGTTAAAAAAATTGAAATGTGAAAAGGAAAAACAGTTGATTATAAAATATAAAACTTTTTTCTTAAAAAATTCGGATTAATATTAAATTTTTCAAATAAATAAAAATAAAAGGTGTTTTTAAAATTGAACAAACGTTAAATTCGAATGAGTTCGTCATAAAAAAGGAACGCGTTCACGTTCAAGTTCGTCGAAAATAAAAGGAACGCCGTTCACCATTTTTTTCAAAAAAACCAACTTCGTTCACGAACGCGTTTATTACTAAATAAGAGTGAGACATAAAATAATTTAAGAAATGAATTAAACTATATTGACAATGTTAGCAATAAGAGCACCCAAATAAAAAAAAGGCAATCCATTGAATTAATTGAAATTTTTTTAAAATTTTGGGTGGCTGTCCCATCCGCGATTATTGTAAAATGATTCCCTGCTTTTATATAATATTTTTCAAGGATACACCAGTTTTCGACAGGGATTGGCTTCCTTTGGTCATTAAAATTATAATTTAGCGTTATTTTGTTTTTTCAAAAAGAGCAGGACTGTTTTTAAATAATTTTTATTTTCTATCTGTATCTTGATCAAGGACCCACTAGTCCTCGACAAAGATTGGCTTCCTTTGGTGCTTATAAATTATCATTTATTGTTATTTTATTCTAAGGAAAGGAGCAGGATATTATAGGTTTCCTCCTACCGATTATTTTTCCCAACGGAATATTAAAAAGGTTTTACTTAATTTTTATAAGTTCGATATAGCTTCTGTGGAAATGGTGGCGCATCTAATGCCATTAATACGACTCTAATCAATGTCATTGGTAATGGACGCTATTGAAAGGCATTTCGTTTACATGCCTTTCTCGTTACGTCTAAATACCCAATGTACATTACCGGCCATAAATGATTGCCCACCCTGCATTTTCTTAATATTTTTCTTAAAATAAGACAAATAACACACAATATGAGGTTTATCAAATTTATTTATAAGTTTACATATTATTGCATAAAATTACAAAAAATAAAAGACAGAGCAATTAATTAAGATCAAATTTTGGTCTCATCAATATGAACACCTTTATTCTTAATAATTGCTGCACAAATTTTTAATAATCTTTCGATGAGATTTTTTAAATATTTGGAAGTGATATTGTTCCATTCTCTCTGTAATACTTCCCAAAGGTGCGATTGAGAGGTTAGAGGGCCTTTTCGCGCTTTTCGATCAAGGTGATCCCATAAAAGTTCGATTGGATTGAGATTGGGAGACTGGGATGGCCAAGTCATCAACTCGAGAATATCGTGTTGTTGTAGATTTTGTAAATAACCTTTGCATAGCCTGGATATATGCTTTGGGTCTTTATCTTGTTGAAATAAAAAGTTACTCCAGATCAAATGCTTTCCTGATGAAATCACATGGTCCTCGAGGATTTGCCGGTTTCCCTTGTTAAGAATTCCTTTAATTTTGACAATGTCGGCGGTTGCCCCGGCACCAAAGCACCCCCACACCATAACAGACCCTCCCCCGAATTTGACTGTAGGAATTATGCAGTGATCGTTCGTTCGCTCTCCAGCTGAGCGGCGGATATATTGCCTTCTTTAAGAACAGAAGATTTAGAATTTTGACTCATCACTTCATAAGACGTGGTACCAGTTGGCAGCCAAAATTGATGTTTTCGTACCCAGTCTAATCGCTTGAGTTTATTTTTTTGCTCAAGAGTGGTTATTTGACCGCTACCCTATCATAAAGTTCAAAACTCCTAAGGCACCTTTTCACAGTTATGACACTTATCGAGTTTTCCCGAGTCAGATTAATCTCCGCAGCTATCTCTGAGGCGACAAGGCGTCGATTGCGTTTATTGATCCTTGCTATATCCTATCATCGCTTAAAGTCATTTTGCGGGGTCTTCCAGGCCTCTTTCGATATTGTATTATTGTTGCGTAATCTTTTAAGTATATAATCCATTGTTCGTCGAGCTAGAGTTAATTCTTTGGCAATTCGGCGATTACTTTTACCACTTATGTTAAATTAATTATTTTGCATTTAGTTGGAATAGAAATTTATTTTCTTTTAATCATTTTGGTCGAATGTTCGTTAAAATTTATAAAGACTGTAAGTTTCTTTAAACAATGATTTAAAACAAAAAAAATCTAGGAATTTTTTTTTAAAATAATTAAAAATAGGTATTAATAAGCAGATTAGAATGATGTTCTTTCAAAAAACAATGGGCAACTTAAAATTGTTGCTGAAAAAAACTAATGAACCCTATTTTACCAAATTGGTCATTTTTGACATGTTGTTTTCAAAGGCTAAAATTTCATAGAAAGATTTATAGAAATTCCGAGTTTTTTATTTCTAAACATGTCTAGACATCTTAAATTAATTAATCAATTCGCTTTTACCCAAATAAGTTAAAAAGTTTTAAGTTATTAATTTTTTTATGTAAAAATGCAGGGTGGGAAGTCATTTGTGGCAGGTAGTGTATATACACTTTTCAATGCATTTTAAAATGAATAAATCGTCAATCTAGATTGTAATACATTGGGTGCATCAAGCAGGTTGTCAAATTAAAAGAATTTTCTCGGTTGTCCCGTTTTTTATTTATTATATTTTAGGCTATTATTTCTATGAATAAATCCTGGCAAAAAAGGATCTCCAATACCTCCGTTATAACTACCATCATCGATACGTTCTGTTTCAAAATCCTCATTGGACCTGAAGTGAAGGCCCCTATTCGGCCCCTTATGATCCGTTCCTTCAGTAATGGTCGGTACTTTAATAAATGTTACTTTTCTAAAAGTAATGTAGTAACTTACGTTACTATTTTTTACGAAGTCGCGAAAAAAAGTAAGGTTACTTTTATCATAACACTTAAAACTGAATATATCCTCTTAGCCGGAGTAATGGTGGGTTTAAAATCAAAATAAAGATATTTAATTTTTTGATATACCTTAAAAGATTTCTCTAAATCTTTAAATACGCGTTTAAGTTGGGGTGAATGAGGATTAAATGGGAAATTTACTCTATAATCTTGTCTTTCAAATATCTTAGGGCTATTATATTTTTCCTCAGAAATCTCTTGAACCGCTCTATGGCTAATTGCATTGATAAGTATATTAAAATAAGGATTGGGAGTGTATTTCGGTTTGAGCATTTCCTTCATTTCAGATTCAACATCAGAAGGTAGCAAATCTAATTTTTTAGTCCTTGAAATGAATAAAATTATATATCTTTTTTGTATAGAGTTAACAAATTTATTGAAAAAATACAATATTTAGGCATCTTCCCAATGAGCGATTCTTGCCTGTCGTGAGAAATACCAGTGCGGTAACGTAACTTCGTTAATAGCAGAGAACTGCAGGCACGGCCCTAAGCCAGACCACATGGGTAGAGCCGTTTAGTTTTTTAAATTACCTGGGCAGGTGTAGTGTGATATTTTAACTTAAATTTAAATTAACTCCCTTTAATAATATTGACATTTATGACTGACGTATAATATTATATGTTTCTATTATTTAGTAATACTGACATGTAATGTTAAAAGTTTATATTATTTAGTAATACTGACATTTATGACTGACATGTAATATTAAAAGTTTCTATTATTTAATATTAATGATATTTATAACTGAGTGCAATGTTAAAAGTTTATATATAACAATATTAACACGATGCTTAAAGTATGTTTAACATATTGACGCTTATTAGTGACAGATAATTAAAATTTTCTAATATTAAAATTTATGAGACAGATAATATTTTAATTTCTGATATTTAGTTATATTAACATCTAAGTTTTATTCTATACTTTTTTAAATTTTTTATACCTATAAATAATTTAACATCGAAAACGTCATAGCTTGATTTAAAAAAAGTTTGATCAAAATCTATATACACACGGTCAGGCGTGTACGCAGGAATTTGGTCTGGGGGGGGGGGGATAATAAAATTTTTCAAGAAATATTATTGTTTTATAAAAATATCAAATTAGGACTAATAACTATTTCTAATACACAATTTAAAATTAATGTGAATTATAAAAAAATTTTATGTAAAGAATCACTTAAATGACCCAAAATAGTAATTTAAATTTTTTGAGCCTTTACACAAAAAGTTTCTGAGGAATAATTGCATTTTGTATGTTATATATTTACAATGTAAAATCCAATCTTCATTGTGATTGAGCTAATTTTTCAATTATCTCATCCTTGCTTGTGGTCAAATGCCTATGAATATTCAAAAGATCCAAACCTTTCAATCTACTTTCAGATGTTGTACTTCTTGGTAGTGTTTTTCAAAGACCTGCAGGCCCGGCCCCCGGGCCGGACAGTATTTTAATTTTTTTAAATATATCCGGGCCGGGCCCGAAATTTTTAAATAAAAACACCCAATCCGGGCTATATTTTTTAAAACAGCCTATATTTGAAATCGTTATTATTAGCTATAAAAATAAATATAATTTATATTAAAAAAAACCGGGCCGGGCCTGAAATTTTTTAAAAAAAAGCCGAGTCGGGCCTAAAAATTTTTTTAAAAAAAGCCAGGCCAGGCCTGAAAATTTTAGAAAAAAACCCAAGCCGGGCCGTAAAAAATCTTTAAAAAAAATCCGGGCTGTGCCCTGCAAATGCTACTTCTGCAGGCATCTGTTATTCTTCTTAAAAAAGAGTGTTCTCTCATTAGTTTACTAATGGGAAGAGTTTATAAACCCTTTTAATACATAGGGAATTTAATCTAAAATGTGTTTCAAATAATGCAGAGCATCCATAGCATTTATTGGGACTATATCAACCATAGTGAATCTTATAAACATAGTTACTCGGCTAGTAAGGCATCATAAGATACTTTAACATCTTCATAAGAAAAATCTAACAAATTTTTTTTTCTATCACCATCTTAAAAAGGTTGGGAAGGCTTTTGTGGAAGTAATTTGCAGATTAGTAAGTGATGCATGATGAATTAAAAATTGATTTATTTGGGTTATAAATGTATCTGTATTTAAGATATACCCTTCTACTGATCCTATATTAATGTTTTAATGATGAGCGTGCCTTGCTACAAGTCGAGGGAGACAAATATTAAACACGTATAGCTCTCCTTTTTACTCAACAATAAAATATAAAATTCATCATCAACATTAGCTCTAATTTCCAAATGCTCTCCACTATTCTCATCTTCTTAATCAAGTCAATGTCATGTTTTTGAAGAGTAATACTTAAAATACATTTTAATGAAAAATAAAATTTGGAATAAGCATTGAATCCAATAATTTTCTTGTTTCTGAGGAAATATTTCTTTCAGGCCATTGTGATATTTCAGTAATAACAAATAATTGGCTCTTATAACTCCTTAAAGCTGTTACTGCTTGATGGCAGAGGCTCTATCTTGTTGGACAAGGTTGCAATTTCTTTTTCCCTGTTGAACAAGAAGTTTCAAAAATAATTAATTGACTAGAAATTTAAAAATGGTAGATAAATATTACGCCACTAAAAATTTGAAAATAAAGTAAATATTACGCCGAAAAATTTGAAAGAAATTAATAGATAAAATAACTTAGTAGATAAATGTGATAATAAATGTAATTAAATATATATTTAATATGAGATACGAATAAATATGTATAAATTAATATAAAAAATAATATTTTTGAAAAATATATCAGGCATCTGCATTTTTTGGATTTGGGGGGGGGAGGGGGGGTTAGCCCCCCCTTTTCCCCGCTGCGTACGCCAATGCACACGGTAGGTTAAATTTATTCATATTTAAATATAAATTACATGTCATTCATCAAATGATTCAATATCGTACTTTTTATAAAAATATTTATTAATAAAAATATATAAAAAGCTATATAATATAAATTCACAATTGAATAGGATTCAACTCATCAAAAAGATGGCTAATTGTTGCTCTTTTTATAAAAATAACTATTAAAAAAATATCAAATGCAATTTGTATAAATTCGCGATTGAATAACATTTAACAAAAAGATGAAGTATTAAAAAATATATAAAATGCAATAAATATAATTTAAATTTGCAATTGAATAGAATTCAACTCATAAAATGGATGTCAAACTATTCTACTTTTTATAAAAATAACTATTAATAAAAAATATACTTTAAAAACATACATCAGGTAGTAAATATTACTCAGTTTTAACCTGATATGACCCAAAAAGCTTGCACAACTTTTAAAAAGAATTTATAACTTTAAACACTTTATACATCAGGCAGTACCAATATACTCTCTCTTTCAAATGATAGGAAAAATTTTTTAAATTTAACTTTTAACAAATTTCTTTTAACATGCTTAAAACTTTTAAAAACAACATAGCATTTCAATTATGTCATTTAGATATTGGTGGCAAGGAATGCGGCAAGATGTCATTGACTTTGTAAAATTATGTGACCTATGTCAAAGATACAATTCCCGATTTGATAAAACAAGCTCGGAAATGCAGTCTATTATTATTACATCTAATGTATGGACACAAATAGGGGTAGACCTGTGTTTATTGCCAGAGAGCATTGATGGATACAAATATGTTGCTGTTGATTATTTTTCAAAATATATCGAAGCACAGCCTTTAAAGGATAAGACAGCCGATTCAGTGATCCTCTTTTTATATTCATTATGCAGGCATGGCAGAGTCAAGGTTGATGAATTTTTTATAATATAATGATATTTATATTTATAGGTCAAAATTAATGATCAGGGGCGCGAGTTTGTAAACCAAGTGAGCAATAAATATCACAAACTCGTGGGAACCCAGCAGAGAGTGATAAGTGCCTATCATCTTCAGGCTAATGGCATTGTAGAGAGCAGAGACCTAGAGGCCCGGGCCGTATTTTAAATTTTTTTAATATACCCGGGCCGGGCCGGTACTAAAAAATTTTTTTTTAAATATATCCCGGCCGGGCCTAAAAAATTTTTTTTTAAATATATCCGGGCCAGGCCTAAGATTGTTAAACCCGGGCCGGGCCTTAATATTTTTTATAAAAATTTTTACATTATGAGTTAATGGTTATAAGATTATATTATATTATAGTTATGATTAATATAATATTGGGTGATGGTTAACACACCTAACACCCACAGATCGATCTAATTATTAATTTCCTGCAAATTTATTCAAAGTATTAATATATTTTTTTATAATTCATATCTAAATTTTTACAACATATTTTACCAAAACAATCAAATAAAGGAATATCTTAAATAAGCCACAATATTCAAGTATTAATAATATATTTTTTATAATTCATATCTAAATTTTTAGAATATTTACCAAAACAATTAAATAAAGGAATATCATGGCACAAAATACTAATGATATAATTAATAAAATTAAAAATAATATTTATTCTTTTAGAAATACAAATAATAATTTAAAATCTGAAATATGGGTTAAATTTAACATCATCATAGATGAAAATAAAAAAAACATTGGCTACGTACAATGTAAAAATTGTTCAAGTATATTATCTTATAATTATAAACATGGTACATCACATCTAAAAAGACATAAATGTGATGGTAAATCCATGAAAATTAATAATTTTTTTTTACACCTGAAAAACCAACCTATAAATGTAATATAAAATATTTAAAAATTATAAAATAAATTATATTAATATTGTGCAATTAGATTATATTTTCAAAATACTATTTATTATACATGCATTTTTTTAAATAGTGATTTATTTTTATTTTATAAATTAAATAGTAAATTAAATACAATATATTATATTCTCAAAATATTTTCCATTTTTATAAATTAAATATTAGTTTTATTTTTTTTTAAATGCAATATAAAATATAGTATATGCTCAAAATATTATTACCATTTTTATGAATATTAGTTTTCTTTTTATAAATGCAAAAAATATAGTATATGCTCAAAATATCCATTTTTATAAATAACAGTTTTATAATTTTTATAAATTCAATATAATATTCTCAAAATATTAGCTTTTTTCATGTATTTTCTAAATAATAAGCGATAATATTCGCTGAAAAATATGGTAAAATACCTCATAGGTGAATTTTTGTATATACCAGGTCGAATATAATTTTAAAAAATTCCGAGCCGGGCCTGAAATTTTTAAATCTGGCCGGGCCGGGCCGTAAAAATTTTTTTTAAATTTATCCGGGCCGGGCCTTAAATCTTTAAATCCGGGCTGGGCTGGGCCGTAAAAAAATTTTTTAAAAAATATCCGGGTCAGGCTTAAAAAATTTAAAACCGGGCCGTGCAAATGGTGCCTCTGCAGGTCTCTGGTAGAGAGAGCCAATCGTACTCTTCAAAATTCACTTTTGAAGTGTACAAAAGGCAATCAGAAAGATTGGCCTGGAGTTCTCCCTGGTATTGTATTTGTCTACAATACATCAAGGCATGAATCCTCAAAATTTACGCCATATGAGATGATGTATGGCAGGAAAGCTATACTGCCCTCTGGGATGATATATATCACTATTTGTATAAAATTATTATAAATAATATATATTTATTTTTATTATTTAAGAATGATAGAGAACCAGATACAGATCTTGATGATCTTTCTGACATAGACTTTGAATGCAATTACCAAAGAAGGGCAGACAATATGAAAGGCATATTAGACTACAACAATTTAAAGGCTCAGTTTAAGCAGCAACGAGATAATAAAACTCGTAATGCTGCTAAGAATGCACTTTATCACATAAATGATAAAGTGCTTGTGTGGAATAATCGTCGGGCTGACAGGAAAGGAAGAAAAATGTTGCAGCCTCGGGTAGATCCATATACAATTGTTAAAATTGTCAATATTAAAATTATTATTTTTTAACAAAATATTTATAAATATTTAGGCAATGTAGAATTATTCTCTTCAACAGGAAAATTTTAAATTAAGGCTAATATAAATAATTTAAAGCACTATATAGAGGGGAACAAAGATACAGTCAAAAAAATTTCACATTGTGAAACTATAGAGGGTGTTCAAGATCAAGGTAATATATTCAGTTAATTCATAAAATAATATTGAACAAATAATTAAGTTTGTAGGCTTCTTAAAATTTTAGTTGGAGAAGGTAAACAAATGCATTTGGAAAAAAGGAAAATATATTTTTAATTATTATATTTCCATTAGAAGAAGCACTATTTGAAGAAATGTCCTGTGGAATAAAAGTTTCAGGAGAACAAAATTCTAGGGTTGGAAATTAGAAAGGAGGATACTAAAATAAACGGTGTCAAGAGAAAAGGGTAAAATATATTTTTTTTGGATACAGATACATTTGGGAAGATCCAATAATAGCTTTTAAAAGTATAGTGAGAGAGGAGGGATATATAGGTGTACAAGATCAGGGTAGTAATATTTTTTTTAAATATGTTATTACTTAATTATCAAATTTAGATGACAAAATTATTGTGGATGCAATAATACCAAAGAAAATTGGTGAACTTTTCCTGCCCACAACAAGGAACTGGAAGGTATACCACTCTAAACGGTTCAATTTTAAAGTAATTGCCCGTTATCCCAAGATAAAATGTGGTATATTAAAAGAGATTTTCACAACCGATCATATTGTGGGTTATGGGAACTGTTTTTTTAGGTTAGTATCCTTTTATAATATTTAATTATTTACCATGTATATAGATATATAAGTCAAGAGATATAGTCAGGATAATTATAATTACCTGAGGGAGGAGCGTTCTCTTATGAGGAGCGAAGATTTCAAATTGGAAATGGGAAAATTTATAGCCTGTAGAGGCATACCTTAACAGAAATGTTATGGGAAACAGTGTATGGGCAACAGAGGTGGAAATATTATCTATGGCCACATTGTTGCAGACAAATATATTAATCTATACCCAATATAAGTGGGCATTCGCCCATGAAATTTTTTAATAATATTAAAATATTTAAAGAAAATATATATATGCAATGAAAATAACAATCATTTTGTTAAAATTATATCAATGTGATTAATATCTATTCTAATATTTTTTTCCTATTGCAATTTAGTTGAAAGATTTGTTAAATATTATTGCACTTTATATTTTTTATTAATAGTTATTTTTATAAAAAGTACAATAGTTTGACATCCTTTTTATGAGTTGAATTCTATTCAATTGCAAATTTAAATTATATTTATTGCATTTTATATATTTTTTAATACTTCATCTTTTTGTTAAATGTTATTCGATGGCGAATTTATACAAATTGCATTTTATATATTTTTTTAATAGTTATTTTTATAAAAAGAACAACAGTTAGCCATCTTTTTGATGAGTTGAATCCTATTCAATTGTTAATTTATATTATATAGCTTTTTATATATATTTATTTAAATATTTTTATAAAAAGTACGATATTGAATCATTTGATGAATGACATGTAATTTATGTTTAAATATGAATAAATTTAACCTACCGTGTGTATATAGATTTTGATCAAGCTTTTTTTAAATTAAGCTATGACGTTTTCGACGTTAAATTATTTATAGGTATAAAAAATTTAAAAAGGTAGAGAATAAAATATAACTAAATATCAGAAATTAAAATATTATCTGTCTCATAAATTTCATATTAGAAAATTTTAATTATATGTCACTCATAAGCGTCAATATGCTAAACATACTTTAAGCATCATCTGTCAGTCATGTATATAAACTTTTAACATTGCACTCAGTCATAAATTTCAGTAATATTAAATAATAGAAACTTTTAACATTACATGTCAGTCATAAATGTCAGTATTACTAAATATATATAAACTTTTTAACATTACATGTCAGTAAATAAAAGATTTAACATTACATGTCAGTATTACTAAATAATAAAAACATTTAACATTATACGTCAGTCATAAATGTCATATTACTAAATGTTATATTATAACGTCAATTATAAATGTCAGTATTACTAAAGGGAGTTAATTTAAATTTAAGTTAAAATATCACGTTACACCGGGTCTATAAATATTAATACCCGAGCCGAGTTGTACATTTTAAAACCAATATTTAAAATCGTCATTATTATATATAAAAATTAAAAATAAATGTTAAAAAAATCCGGGCCGGGCCTGAAAATATAAAACCCGAGCCAGGCAGAAATTTTTTTAAAAAAAAATACGAGCCGGGCTGTGCAAATGGTACTTCTCTCTGGTTAAAAATAATGCCGTTATGAGGGATAAAAAATGTCATTCGTTACTAACTTGGTAAGATAAGGAGTAAAATAACATTTGAGATTACTCATTGCTTTTTAAAATAAGAAAAAACTTAGTTATAATGCCAAATTATACATTATATTATTATATATTTTTTAAATTTAATTAAATATTAATTTTAGCTTATTTTTTTGATCAAATGATTAATAAGACCTAATTAAATCTTATATTCATTCATATATATTGAAAAATGAATAAAGATATAATGAATTCCCACCCAATAATTGTTCCCTCGCCATGATATGAAAAATTCTAAAAACTGTAAAATGCTGAACGTTATCTGATCAGAACTTGAAAAACAATTAGATTAAATATAAATATGTCAAAATGGTTTGAAAAAGCATTTTACTTAATTATAATTATTTTAGGGAATTTAAAATATTTATACATTGATCGATATTTTTCAAATAATATAGTATTTTTATAACCTTTTTATACATAGCATATGGTAAATATAAAAATATCTGCTATGACAATTTATTTTGAAAGTAACAAACGACGTTACTTTTTTGAAAAAGTGGTTTCTTATTTTGATAAAGTAACTAACGACGTTCATTTTTTGAACAGCAACGAATAATAACGACATTACATCTTTAAAGTAATGTATACAGCAATGAAAATTTCCAATGAATCGCGCGACCTCGCTGATAAAGGAACCCAAAACTAATTTACTATTAATGAAAGAATTTATTAATATTCACAAAAATACTTTTTTTTGTATTATTAAATTTATTATATTTTAAAATCTAATTTAAAAAAAGAGAAAAGGGATGTTTCATCCCTAATATCAACCTAATTATCATAATTTAAATTTATAAAACAATTTTCAAAAGTTTATACTTAACAAAATATAGAAAAAACAGAAGTGCGAAACCTAATAAACTGCTAATTTTGTGAACCGTTACAGATATTTATTTTAAATAATTAGCATAGTTAAAAAATAAACAGTATACCAATTTTTATGTAGTTATGTTATTCAAAATTTGTATTTCTTATCAAATTTTATAATAAAATAAAGAAATTTTATTTTCTTTACTTAGTTTTTATTTTCAAATATTTCTATTAGATTATTATGGGTCATTTGGAAATTAATTTTTAAAAAATCAATACTTATAAAAAACAGAAAGAAGGAATGGATATGTATTTCTAAAACCGAAAGGAACAAATATATATTGTTAAAAATAATAGGATCGGAACAAAACCGTGTAAAAATATTAAACTAAAAAATGGAATTGGTTCGACACACTGATATTAAGGTAACCTAAAATTTCAAATAATATTTACATCATATTCATAGAATCGATTAATCTATCAATGACTTCAAAATTATGTGGATTATCTTTCGAATTTTCCAAAGTTTTATGATCAGCAGATTTTGAGTGGGTTTCAATAAAATTGGGAAATTTATAAAGCCTGATATCCTCCAAAAATGGCAAAATGTTCAATATGAGGCACTATAAAAATAAAATGTTGATAATACGAATTCTTAGCAGTCTAAGGATTTCTAAACAAAATTATAATGTTATTTTACTTGTCTCATTTTATTTTAATTAATTTATGAAAAAAAATTATTTCTTAAGTTTTTCCAAAAGATATACAATACTAATACATATTCCTTAAAATCTCACCTTGCTCTAAATTTAAAATTATAAGCCAGATCACTAACCAAATTATTAGGTGACAAATTACAAGTTTGAAAAAAATTTGTAAGAAAAGATTAATTAATTAATTTTCATTATATTTTCCCAAATATAACAATTAAATTCCGACTAAATATTACATATATTTTACAAGGTCAATAGCATAACCTGAAATCTATAAAAAAAACTTTACTCGATAATTATTTTTGATTTTAGGAGTTAGAGCAACTATTTTCGGCTGGTTTGAAGCGACCCTTTTGTTAGCACTCTGGTAGCGAGCGATGGCTATCAAATCTGACTCGTACATAGCCGTAACTAAATTTTCAAATGCGCATTTAAAAGCTGCCTTGTCTTCATTATCCCCTAGCCTATTTTTAGACTTCGTATATGACATAGTTTCGTCCCATAAGAATTCAATACAGCCGTCTCCCAAAAATTTGTAAACTGGAATCTATATTGTTTTTGATAAAATGATCGAGATTAGAGCTGCATCAAGAGAAATGGTATCGGATCGGTGCCTGTATTGACATAAACCAATCCCATTTTTAATAGTTTTTTATAAAACAAATAGCTGGTTTCATAACTTTAAGAATATTTTATAAAATATAATTCATATTTTTTCAAAAATTATTTTTGTTATAAATTTTTATTAAAAAAAAGGGAATTTAAATTTTATAAGGATAATATTAATTGTATTTAGGTTAATCAAGAATAATAATAATCCGGAATCAGCCCATGATGATTTAGAATCTTGATTCAGCAAGTTTTTAGGAATAAGTGAAAATCGTGGTGATTCGGAATAACCTAGGCAAGTCATTATTATAGATTGCTTATTTTTTGTATAATTTATTATAATTTTTTCAAGTAATTTTTATTACACTTCAGATAATTTTTTTATAATTTAATTTGTATAATATTAGTCGTGGTTGAGTTATTTTATCCTAGGAATAAAATATATTTATAACAGTTAAGATATAAAAAGGTATGTTAGATTTAACAGTAATTATGGACCTTAATTATGGCAAATTACAGCAATATATGCTAAATAAAACCATTGTTCAGGAAATTATATAGGTTTGGTTTAGCGAATTGGTATAAAGCATAGTCTCCGAATAAAAGATATTTTTGCGTTTTGTTTCTTTCCGGCCATAAAAAAATTTTTCGGCAGTCTCTAATAACTTTTAGGCAGCTTAGCTCGTAGAACATATTTTTACAAGTTACCCGGCGTATAACTATTTATGAAGGAAAACGAGATAAATTTGCCTAATTATCTTGTTTGACACTAAAAATATTTTAAACAATTTGTAGGGCCAGACCCGATATTTTTCCCCGCATCGCGGGAATCGGGTTCCGTCAAGGGGCATCACTAGTCAATGATATATTAATTATGGCTGTGTCGATATTATATATCGGATCGGCACCGATATATTTTTTGAAACCGATCTAATCCAATATTTTTAGGTTACTTTATGATTATAATATTTTTTTATTTAATAAATAATTTATATAATAAATTAATGAAAGGAACTAAAATATAATTTATTTGTTGTAATGTTTAAAAAAATAAAAATGTACACTATTTTTTGATATATTATCTGCAACAAGAAAAGGATTCTCTAACTAGTCACATTTAATTAGTTTTGTTAAAAGGCTCGATTTAAAACGGTTAACTAAATATTTTAGCCAAAAGTAAATTACTCAAGTTTATAGGTTTTGCCTACAAATGGCAGAAAAGTTTGGACTTCTATTAGCGAAATGTAGAGACCTAGGTAATAATATTTTGGCGAAAATCTTGATTTCGCCTTTTTAAAAATCGACTATATGGAGTGTCTAACAATATTGTATTCACCCACAAACATTGCAAATATTTTAAATAAGATTATTAACTTTTGAAGAATAAAAAACAAAATACATTTAATCATTCGTGAAAGTTAGTTGGTTTTTTATTCATTATTTTCCAAAATTTAACTTTTTAATTTGCCATCGTTGAGGAGAAGCAGAAAATATATGTGTACATGCTGCAGATTATTTATTATTGTGTATATATGTTAGCGGCAATGTGTTTTTTCAACTTTAAGTAATTTTTTGAGCGCGTTTTTAAATTTAAAAATCTGATTTTACCGGAAATGAATTTCAACATGTTTAGAATACCTATCTTATGAATTGTAGATAATTCTACCGTTAAATTTTGCTATGGAAAAACTAATATAAATTATATCAAAAAGTTCATGATAAAATTTGTGAAATTCTTAGGGTGGGTATTCCAAGTAGAGGTGGGCGAAAAATTCACGCCCATTCACGCTTACCATTAAAAAATTTCGACCCGACCCGCCCGCTCACAAGCAATATTTTGATTCACGCCCGAAAATTCACGGTGTTTTTAAATTTTTCAAAACTATTGCTATAATTTTACAATTTTTTGAATTCATTCAATTTATTTCTCTAATTTCATAATCCATATTAATAACAAAAAATAAATATAATCTATAAATCGAAATTTATTTAGAAAAAGAAGAATGTTAATCTTTTTTTATTTCAATTGTGTACGCCTTTCCTCTAATAAGAGATTGACTATAGAAAATAACTTTTCACTAGAAGCCGAACTTGCAGCTGACAAAATTTTACTCGATAATTTTCTCAAAAAAGGAAATAAATATTCCTGCTTCCAAAACTTCAAAATATTGTCGTTATTTATCTTATATGAATCTTTTAAGTTCATCCTCACAGCTTTCATTGATGTTGATGCTTCATTAGAATCATCTAGAAATTCTGTAATTTTTTTTTTAGAATATATGGTCTTTTATGAGTGTAGGATGAATTAGGAAAGTGATAGTTGGTATTGACCATTTAGAATATACGGTTTTTTATGAGTTTAGGATAAGTTGGGAAAGTTATAAATGATAGTTGGCATCGACTTATGCATATCATCTAATTTTATATCATTTAGCATTTTTATGATTGTTTTATATATAATCATTTTCTTCTTTTATTAAAAACTTAAGTCTTTTGAAATTCAGATCTAGAATTCAGCCTACCTTATGTAGTGGCTGCATAATAATATTTTAAAAGAAATCTTGTTCTGTTTTTAAGGTTTTGATTATTATTGTATCACGTTTAGAAGGATAACAAAATTTTATTAATTTTTGTTTCCATAGAAAAACTTTATTTATTGTGGGACGAGAATCTGCTCTCAGATTATCCGAGTATTCTTTAAATATTGATAAAAATTTATCTAACTCGCGTATGATACTGATATGAATTGTGGCTTATCTATTTAATTTTTGCTTGCTAAACAATACCTGCATTTCAGAATATGATTTTAAGAAACTCTGTATCATGATATATATACAGAGTTCCATCTCGTTATTCTAGCTATTACATCTTGTTTAAGGGTGTGGCTTAGTTTTATATTAGCTGTAGATTGTTTGAAATAAGGCTATTTCAGTTAAACAATTGTCAAAAATATAATGCATATTATTTAGTATATGGCATATACATGCTAGCTTTTCGTCATCTTTGAATGCACTTATAAGATTTGCTCCGTTATCACTCACAACTATACATTTATTTAAGTAATTTTATACTTCTGTATTACAACAAATGTTTTTAATTTAAAATCCTTAATAATAATATGCCCTGTAATGGTTAAAAAACTTAGATTTTATAGTCATCCGTCAAATATCAGTGATTATGGACAAGTAATTATTATTGGTCATGCTTTTAATCTTAAATTTTATTTTATAGTATATTTTTGGACCTATAGTATCATGAGAGTTTTCCGGTTCACAACTTTTATATTTTGTTATCCATATGTAACACCAGCATTTATCTCTTGGCCTAGCTTTAAAATCCTTCACTTTCTGTTGCATTTAGATAGAAGATCTTTACAAATAAAATATAACTGACTTTTCTGTAAAAAGTTTAAGTAAAATTTAGCATAAAGTCTCGCGATAAAAAACACCCAAACATAAAAAGAAAAACAAAATGATACCGGATGTTGTTTATAAAATGCGGAAGATTTTTAGTTTTCATAAATTATTCTTTTTTAAAAAAGAACTAAATTAAATAAGAAAATATATAATATAATTAAAAAATTGCAAATTTATAATTATAAAATTGCAAATTTATATTTATAAAAAAACAATTTTAAAAAATTTCCGTGATTCACGAGAAATTGATGTTCACGCCCGATCACGCCCGGGGAAAATTTTGGGAAGGCCCGTCACGCCTTGGGATTTAAAATTTATTATCCGATTTTTAAATTTTAAAATTAAATTTAAAAAAATAACACGTTGCCGCTAACATACAATGGAACACATTTGTATGTAAAATACTACTATACTAATATTAATTTATTTATTTTATAATTAATTTAAATTATGTATACTTGTTAGTAGTGTTGTTAAACGGCTCGTTTTGAGCCGATTTTTTAAAAAGGCTAACTTAATAATTTAGCCAAAGAAATATAGCCTAAGCCTCAAGATTTCGATAATATATGTCTAGACCTTTGTTCTTTCTAAGAGCAGAATCTTCACATACGTAATATTTTTTCTGGATAAAATATTGAGTTAGCCGTTTTTAAAGGCTCAAAACGAGCCTTAATAACATTACTTATTAGAATAAATAAAATGATTGTTATAATATTGATTATTCAAATAGATTGTAATTAAATTGATAAACAGGTTCATTTAAAAAGGGGCATAATAATTAAATGCTATTTAATATTAAAAGACACATTTCAGAGTATTTGACCATAGTCAAATATACTATTGACCTTATTTGACCAACACTAATATCAATTAATTTCAAATCGTAAGATAAAAAATGCATACAAAACAACGATAAATTATAAAAATATAAATTTAAAGGTCAAATATTTTTAGGTTGAGTTAGCAAAAAGAAAACAATTATATTTAAGTCTCAATTTGTGTTTTTTTTAATGAACGAAAATAAGTTTATATATTAAGGTTTTTATTTTATAGCTTATTATTTGTAAAAGCAAAACTTTTAGTTGATAATTATAGTAAGAAAAAATTATCTCTTCTAATTTAGTTAATAATTTTTAAATTTTGATGTATATTTTCAATTTTTTCCTGCAGAGATACCATTTGCAAGATTCGGCCCGGATTTTTTTAAGAAATTTTTTTCTGCCCGTTGCGGGTTTTATTCAGACCCAGTCCAAATTTTTTGGTCAGGCCCGAGTATATATAAAAATATTAAAGGATCAGCCCGTGTACACGGCCGAGCAGGTTTCTGTTATTTACAGTGTTGTGATGATTTAAATAAACATATTGACGATTAAATTAAACCTCATCTATATAAAATTATTTTCTTTGCAAAAATAATTAAAATAACTAAAGGAGTAATAAAAGAATTTTCTTGTCTATATTTTAATTATTTTTGCAAAGAAAATAATTTTATATGGATGGGTTTTAATTTAATCGTCAATAT